TTACGCCTGAAAAACAGTTCCTCAGTTGTTACGTCGACAATTACGTCCAATGCATCTTCGAGCAGTATGACGAGTTTAGAGGTAAAATTTTTGATGTTTAATGTGTCCCACGTGCACAATATATCAGCCGAAATTGAGATGCTTGCCGAGGTGTTTTTAAGTACCAGTGTATGGGCGATCGCCAATATCGTTCCCCGTTTGCTTGCTTAATGACATCTCGGTCTGTGTGGTTGAAAATAACACAACGAAGTTGTATTTTAAGTTTTACCGGCCAGATCTCAGTTGGTAGCCAGGAATGGGGAAGCGGACGGCGATCTTAGCCCTAATCCTAACCTTATCCCTAACCCTTGCTTTAATCTTTAACGTTAACTGTTAACCTTAACGGCAACCCTAACGATAACCATAACCGAAATCCTAAATATTATCATAACCCTTAGGCATAGCTGTAACTGGAAAACTTACCCGTGGTACTGAAACCTAATCGTACGTCTAAACCATAACCGTAACTCGAAAACCTAAGCCCAGAGGCATAACTCTAACCCGAAAATTGGAAACCATTAACCTGTACCTTAATCCTAACCCAAGACGTAAAACGGAAGCTAAATGGGTCAGATGTGTTTATGGTACCCCACAAAATAGCCCCAGTAATTACCCTACCCCTCCCCCATAGACAACTGTAAAACGGGGCCTGGCTACCAACTGCGATCTAGCCGTTTTACCTCCTAAACGAGTTAAATGTGCAGTGCGAACGGGAGATTCAGGTCAGGGCATGGTATGTGTCAGCCAGATAGTGCAGAGCCTATGCATCTCATGAGAAATGTACTACGCTGGGAGAAATGTAACGACGCGCCTATGCGCAGGATCACTTTTTATGTCCTACCTGCTGGAAACATAAGGGGAATTTGAGCAAACGTGTTAAATAAGTTATAAGAAATTATTACAAACGGCAAGATCCTTTCCGACGACCATCTACATGTCAAACGCAAGCCCATCCCCAATTACATGTTGAGTAAATTTGTATTGGTTTCTAAACTAACAGAAAATTAAGTCACGTGGTGCAGAACGAACGCATTAAGAGTCTATTCGCAGAGAACATATCTTAAGGCTTGCATGGGCTCAGAATGTGTTTCCGGCGTTGAATAATCAAAGAGCGCATTTTATTTTTTCTTGGCGACTGATAAGTCAACAGTTTTGCCCACACCCCTGATTGATAAAAGTATTAATTTTCTTCCTGGACCACAACTAAAAAGCGATTCCCTAAAATATGGGCTAACAATCATTTTATGCGTGTTTTCTTTATAAATACAATGAGTGACCGATCACATGAAATTTTGGCCGAAACTCTTAAATGCGCTATCAATTAGGAAGGATTACTTAGGGTGGGTTGTAATACTGATCATTATGCGGCATCATCCTATAATAATTCGGTCCCGCCAGGATATCGGCTTTCGAATGCACTTCCTTGCAACCACCTGCAGAGACCACACTCGGTAAGAAGGGCTACCTAATTTGCATGCATTTTTACTTATGAAAACCAAGTATATTCTATACAATGATATCCACAAAATATGCTTTCTTCCACTAGTTTTGGTGGGGAATCAAGTTTTAATTACAGCTTTTATCAGAAGAAAGTGAACACTTAGATTTCAAAAAGGATTTTAATTATGAGATTTTTAAGACAGCATAAAGTTTATTCATACCAGTTCATTCATACCTGTATATCCACCAATGCTTCTCATGAAATGTACGGCATAGACCGCATTCATTGCAAAATTTTGTGAAGTCGATATGATATCTTCTAAGACGCACAGTCGAATATATGACTTACATTAAACTAAAAGCAAGCATCCAAGTGATTGAATTCGCTAAAGGCTAGTGCAACGCCTGCTAGAGCTTAAAATTATTCGATAACCGCGAACCCTCCTCGCAACTTGAATATATACTTCCTCAGAGTAAAAAAATGTTAAAACAACCCGAGTTTCTACCAAACACGTAAGCACAATCATATTTTGTTCATATTTTCTATAAAATATATTTGCATTTATAAGATCGTCGAAAATCGATGCGAAAACTGCATGCTATTTAAGCAGCCATCATTTACTGAGTGCTGCATTCAAAAGCCCACATCCTGGTGAGACCGAGATCTTGCAAGATTATGCCTCATGCTAATCTACATTATAACTCCCCCTAAGCAATCCTTCCTTAGCGGAAACGTATTTAAGAATTTTAGCCATTTCCCGAGATTGACCACTCGATGCACGAATGCAATTTACCCAGAAATTGGAGTTGGACAAAACAAATGCTGAACATTATCTCCGGTCTTTAAACGTATATGCAAAAGCCGTTCGACTAATGACCAAATTACGACTACGTAGAAGGGAGCTCAGGATTAGGGTCTCTGCTGGTAGGTTGAACAACCTTAATGATTAAAATCCACATTTATATGTGCGGCATATTATTAAGGCCACGGTTTAATTAGAGTTTTGAAAAAAGTCGCCTACATGAAACATAATGCTTCCTGATATGTTGTGAAAATTTCCAGAAGCTGTTTAGATTTTTCAAGGGCAACATAAGTTCATGTAATTCGATAAGCCTAATCTGGGCATCCGAGTGAAACCGTAAACATTATTTCTTTAGTCTGAAAGGCCACCGAATATTCTGGTTCCATGATAAACAGCGTTCTTAATCTAAAATTAGGGCTTTCCCTTCAAAATTGCTAATGCCTACATTTGTTCAAAAATAAATATGTTGGGTAAAAACTAATTTCAGCAAAAGAGCGTCAAGAGCTTGAATCACTTTTTAGGCTACTAATAAGAAGATTTGCTTATTGCTTATAAGAATACCAACTGCAAGACATGCAATTTGTGGTTTCGAATGGGAGCTTTGATGACGTCTTATCGGGGAGCATTTTCCGTCAAACTATCGCAGTGAATTATCGAGGATTTCACTGTCAATAACCTTTCGGTCATGAACAAAATGTCACCAATGGGTTAAGTGAAATAATCACCAGCAAAGTTTTGAGCGATCTGTGTAAAATGTGGAAGTTTTTAACGACCTAAAAAATCATCACACGAAGAAATGATAAGAGATTAACATGGGACTTATAGGGTAGACATACTGTTGTCATCAAAAGTGTAACCTTTGGGGGCAAATCAAGAAAGTGCTCACTTAAATCCGGATAAATATCAAGTGTAACCAGCAGCCGTCTACCCAACGCAAACTCAAAGATTATAGTCTACAAACCAAACGATATTTAGTAACCCTTAATGCATATTTGTATCCACCGCGTGGAATCTCGGCAGCGAATAAAAACCAGTTTCTGCTCAAAATCAATGTATTCAGTGTAGTGATTCGCAAACACTTTTTCTAGACTGTGGCATGTATGGGGAGAAACATCCCAAGTACCGCGAACCATGTAGATACAGTTTCTGAGATGGCTAGATAAAAGAGTAGCCTAAACACCTGACATGGGATTTTCAATGTCATGCACCCAGAATTTTATTCTACGGAACACATTATAATGTAATTCTTTACCAGGTTTTAATATGAGGGTATGCATAGCTCCGGGTTGATGAGATTTTCGAACGAACCTATCATTTGCTAATGGCAGCCATAAAATGTTAGTTATTCCGATTTCAATGCATTTCGATTTCCGATTTGGCGTAAGATTTCTTTGTAAGCGACACCATCAGACCTTCATTTCTGTAGAAATACCGTGATGCCAAACATGACACAGACGACGAACGCCTAGAACAAATATTTGCGTGCGGTATCCGCAAAAGTCACCAATTTGGATACTTACAAAAGACAAACTGAACTTCTCCCTTAAATACGCAATACTACGCATGGCCTTCTGATAACTTCCAAGAGACCTCTATTCCCGTGTTTTTAAATAAATCTTAATTCTACCACGTATATCGACCTTAACCCTAACCCCAAATCTAACCACGACCCCAATCATAACCTTACTCTCGGCCATTTTTACCCTCGTTATATCCCTGGCCTTCTCATTGATCCTAATATAAACTCTGCACCTAACACTACCCTTCACCTACAACAACAGGAAGCGACTGCTTATAGCACAGAATCCATATTTTCATTCCCATGAAGATCAATCAAAATACCTATATCTACCCAATTTTTCTTTGTTTAAAGAATGAATGTATTTAACTGAATGGAGTATGTCCACCTATTATACAATACGCTGGCAATTCAAAGCGGATTTTGAATTATGGTTAGGTGACATTTCAGTTAATATATTGCGAGTTTGCGGTGATTTTGCCATGCGTAAGGTATATTTTGTTCCGCCTACGTGCTTTTTGGCTACTATTCAAAAACCTAAGCGGCGATTGTGCAATTTGGTATATTTCATAATTCTTTTGACTATCTTTTTCCAAAGTATTGATCTCTCAGCAACAAATAATTCTTAATTTTAAACGGTATTCATTCGTGTTTTTGACAGTGTTGGGATTTAGCTGTTTAGATTTTGCTTCTCATATGAATGTAATATTGCACATACAAATTGCATACGAAGCACCAAACCACTAATAATAGAAGACCTATTAAAAAAGTGAATTATAAATGCAATTTTCTACGAAATACTTACTACTTCGTCTTCTTAAACCTTTTGAGCGCAATTAAGGTGTTGCCAACAAGAACTTGCTGCACGACTTAAAGTGGACATAGCAACTTAACATTGCTTTTTCCCACTGGGCACCTAAAACAAGCGCATATGGGTACTCTAGAGATGCCAAAAAACGGTTGGTTTATGGTCTTGTGATGCTCCTTTAAAAAGACCTAATCATAGATGTGGATACAATAGCGTGTAATTTTCGATTCTGTTTAACCGCAGAATAAATATGTGAAAAATATAACAGTCAGTTTAAACAAAGTAGTTTTTTCTCAAAACACTGGTGAATGAAAGAATACTTGACAGAGTTGATCTCCGATTATGTCTTTTGGCTTAAATGGGCAGCCCACATGAACACTGCACAGAGTTATCAACAACGTAACAGTAGTAGGTAGGCGCGGATACACTTGTGTTGACGATGAATCACCTTGAAAAACTCTCTTCTAAATCTGCGACCCAGAAAACAGTAGAGGACAGTGTTCACTGAGGCGTTTAGCATCACAGAAAACTGGCATAATGCATAAAATATGTTGTAATTGGGGAAGGTCGACTGCACCCAGTCATCCCAGAAGTGCAGAAGGAGGTTGTCAATCATTGGGAAAGTTTGGAAGGCGGTAAACACAGTTACCAGACAGAAGAGTCTTGCGGTTACCTGAATTCGGTGCTTGTTGTACTGGACGCCTCTATCAATGGCCGGACGATAGTACGGATTATTCCGGGGCCTACTTTTGTCGTGGTTTATGTCCTGGGCACCATTCATGCCAGATGGCTCGGACATGCCGATTGGGACACCCTCTACAGAACCTTGGTCCCATCCACTAGTGACATCCATTCGACTGGGACTTGGTTGTACTGAGGAAAGAATATTTTTTCGCCCTGTTGGCCAGGTCACTGAGGCACTGCCCGTATGTGATCGGTGCAGATTGTGGGCATCAACAAACTTAAAGCGAATACGGTGCAGTATGATTGCAAGACGAGCATTCAGCACTGCCACAATACTCACGGGCACAACAAAGATTCCAAATGTGTAGGCATAGGAGCGGTAAATAGAGACGTATAGATGAACGGAACCCAAATTTCGCATTTCGTAGGAGCATCCTTCGTGTTCAGAGATGCTTGAGCAGTTGGCTGGTTTAAGAGGAATTGACAAGTACTCAAACACCCGCGGCGCGTTAAACAAAATCGAAAAACTGATAATTGCGCCAATAAGAAGGCGCGATTTCTTGCGAGTCCTACAGGAGTTTCGTCGTAGCGGGTGTGATATAGTGACATAGCGAATGATGGAAAAGACCACCACAGTGTAAACGCCGATCGTCTGAGCCGTGAGCGCGATGGGGTAGATCACTGGGTAGATACCGGATTCCTCCATCCAGTTGGCGACCTTACTCGGAACCAGCATTGGGATGCAAAAACTGATGAAGTAGGAGATGAGGAGGGCACTATCGGCCAGTGTGAGGGTCTTGAGAAAGAGGCTGGATGTCATGGAGGAGAGGCCCTCTTGGTGCAGTGTTTGTAGAGTAAGCCCATTCCCAATCAAGCCACAGATTGTCAGGGGAGCAGAGATGGGGCCGAAGATAAGCCATTCTCCAAAGTTATATTCCAGGATCTGGGAATCATTCTTAGGCATCGTGGAGAGCAAATAAAGCTGCGTATGTCAAAGTGCCTTTACTCCCCTCGTGCTGACATAGGGTAGAATTTGGATGATAACACGTACGGAATGTCTAATGGCCAGGTAATGGTTGGAATAAGACCCTGGCAGATCCTACTTCGTTGTCCTTCGATGAGAGTATCAATTTGCCATTGGTCAGTCGTCGTGACAATATCGGACCAATAGAAAACCGTCAAAATGCAATTTGCAGAAACCACCAAATACTGGCATGAGTTTGCTTCTTTGGCGGGATCGACGTTATTGGTCGATTATAACACTGAAAACGCAGAGGAAGAATAGGCATCAGAGTGTAGGATCGACATATACTACGAGGATATGTACGAGCAGAAAGTGCTGTTGCAAAACTAGTTTTTCCTACCTTTGCAAAATTACCAGCTGCAATGCCATCGATGCATGAAGGCAGCAAAAATATGAAAATCCAGACAGAAAACTTACTACGGCCACCTTATGAGGGCAGCGCGCTGCACAAATGCTTTGCAAGGCTACTTTATAGCCAAAAGTGTATTCTTTTTTGGGGAAAACGCCTTGCTTATAACCGGAAAAATTGAAAACTACTCACTGTACTGGAGTACAGTTTCCTACTGAGGCATATATTGCAGTACTTCATGCGGATTTGACCGAGGAAACTTAAATAATGGAAACTTTTGCACACGTATAAGGTGGCTTTCGATCCCGCGCAAATAAGCCGTGGTGACATGTAAATTACCACGTCACTTTCAAAGAAGCAACAGCGCTTTGGTTTTCTTCTTAAAAATTCTGGCTGTCTAATCAGTGCAATTCGTGGATAAAATACGTTAAGAACGCTAACTGATATCTCATTATTGCCACTTCCGCAACTGGGCGGTAACCCAGCACAAACGTACCATCGAACGACTGTTTAAACTAATGTTATTCTCTTAGTTAGTCTTCATTATTACTTAATCTGGAGAAGGTACGGTTGATTTATTTGTTGGTTAAAAAGTACACGACTCCATAATCGTAGAAAAGAATCAAGAGATCGCTTAAAATCAAGAGACGTTTTAATTTTCCTCTGACTTAGCCAAAAGGAAGATGACGGATGTAAGCAGTTAGTCGCCCGGTACAGTAGCAAAGAGCGCTATAAAGAGGTGGGCTTCCCTGGAATTTCATTTACGCTTGTGCTTATATGTCGCATACACCCGTTTTTCTCGCAGTTAGGCTTCACTTTCGACTTAGTTAGCAAATAAAATCAAAAATTCCATCCTAAAGAAGAGGTTGTTAAAAAGACTGAGAGGTGATTCCAAAACGGAAATTTATTCTCCGATACGTCAAAGAGGCTTCGACCATCAAAGTACTTCACCGTCGCTAGAATTCTCGACGTAATATACCGGAAAACTAAGACTCGCGTACCGATTGCCTCAATTGTTAAGTATCCTCTTGGCATTTTACTCTGTGGATACCTTGCCCATCAGAAGCCGTTATCAGTTACCACGAGCAGTAATTCCTTTTATACCACGTAACTTATTATTTGATGGAAAAAGGAAACTGGTACATTACGTTTTGGCTTTTCCTTTTGCAAAACTCCACTAAACCTCAAATGACTTACTGAACACCACAATTTGCATAACGATAATTCTCAAATATCTCATCCAAAGATTAATTACAAAAGTTCTGAACTTTTCTGTAGGCAAATTGTTTTCTTTCTCTGTTGTTTGCTTGCGCACGGACCTCATTTGCACACGAATTAAGTTTGAAAATCAGTTGCTATGCACGAAGTTACTACACACTTCCAATTTTTGTCAAAATGTTATTTCTGTCCCGCGTAATATCATTTACAGAATGCTTTTGTCACTTCCACTTGCTTAAAGATCACATAATATTTGTTGGATGTTTTGTTTGTTAAATTGGTCGGTTTTGTGCCAATTTCCTGAGCTGCACCATCTTCTATCTATCGACATCAGTCAACAGAAAATCATGCGCCGAGTTCGATTGTGATCTGCCGTGCACATGCGCGTTTGCTAACTGTTTCCCAAGTTTCTTACTACTGATTGGCATTTACATCTGCAGCCTCCTGAAAGCGTTTACTTCTGTGGTCCTTCCCTCAGAATATCAGACAAGGTTCTCTACACCCTGATGAACCTTAGACCAAACAATGTAAAAATGAAGGATTCAAACTCCCGCGTTATGTTCTTCAGGTTTAACCAGTCATCCAACAGTTAACTATATGCTTCATTGCATATTTGGGCAATTATTGGAATATATTTGACCGGAGGATTTTCTGCAAGAGTCAAGCAAGCGTCGCTATAACTGGGCTGTTTTGGTAATTTGGCTGCTTGCTTAGACGTGCAGTAAGGGCAATAATTAATTAATTCTGTTCAGTTGACACAGAGCAGTTGAGATATTTGAGTGTCCACCCATCATGAAAATTTAGTTAAAAGCAAACTAATATTATTTTGTTGGCCCTTTTCGTTTTCTCTTTTCCGGTATCATTGGTGTTTTAATGGTGTTTTTTGACGGCTTAGGGGGCTTTTTCTCAAGATTAGGAGGGACTTTTTGCAAACTTGCTTATATTTGATGAGTCAACGCTGTAAGATCTTGTTTTCAATCTTGAAACTGTCGATAAACATCCGGTAGGAGTATTTTTCTGCCTCGTCTGTCGAGCGGTTCGCAAACACTCTTGAAAATTGACCGCAATCCAGGACAACAGTTTCGTCACTAGGAAACCTCCAAACTACCTTTTAATTTGGATTATTCAGTCTTGTTTGTCACGTTAAGAGGCAAGAAGATTTATATAAGAAATGATGCACAGGTAATCGCTTTCCCATCTTGTCGAGTCAGCATTTTTCAGAGCAAAGGAACATAAATTAAGAATGATTACGGGTTGGCGTGTCCAGTTGCGTAACGAACTGTTATGCTGTCCCCTGCATGTAGCAGAATTTTGAAACCAAAGGGCCATTTTGTACCTTTAATTTACCTGGGAAGTTACATAGCCGTACGCCGCATTGTATATTTGCATTTTATATTTTTTAGGTTTCCTTTAAATACAACCGTGAGGTCATTTGTATACTTATCTAATTCTTCGTCGTCTGTTCATGCTGCCGACAGTTGCAGTTTGCGGCCAACCATGCTATATCTGTCCGGTGTTCATTTTTATCCTCAGTCAGCGAAATGTTTTGCTAAAATTCGTGGGATAAAGCCTTCCTAAAATGTGTTCTTCTCTCCTGCTCTTCTAAAGACCTCCGTCCTGATCCGGTTATCCTTCAGTTACAAGAATATTTCCGTTGTTTTATTACACTCTCAACTGTATCTGCAAATGATTATGTTCCTCAGTCTTTCCCACTTTAAAATAACGTGCCTCGGTTTTCATCTCAGATGGGCAATGCGGAAGCCTCCAATGTCACAAAAGTCAAATAAGTGCCAATTTACTAGTGTAGTGGTAGGTGCAGTTTCTAAACGCACTTCTATGCTTAAATGATTGTTAAAAAGTTAGTTACATTCCGAATTAAAGAACAGATGTGAAATAAATTTATAAGAGAAGAGACGATTCGGTGGCATACGCGCACAAAATTCGGAGCTCAACTAATTGCATAGCTTTTAATGCTTGTATGATCAGCATAGTTTCTTGCGTGTGAAGAGTTATAAAAATACCGCCTTAGGTTTAACTTTAATCATATGGACGACACATAAGAGCATTTTTGCGTAAAAGTCAATCATTGGAATAACACATGACCTTTATCTGGCCGCCGGGACCCTCAATGAGTTTTCGGCTGTTTGAAGAGCATAAGACAGCGAAATAAATTAACATGCCCGATAACAGTGTCATTTTCAAACTATTGAGGAAAGTCGTATCCCATTTCAGTTAGTATAGGTTCATGTAAATATTCAATAAAACTATCTGAATTACAACTGCAGTTAGTTCTCCTTTGTTTATTTTGGAAACAGAAAATATATTTTCCGGATCGTTAGTCAAAGCGGTTTACAGAGTGCCTAATGGATGGTATTATATGGGAGCTTCCTTTCCAAATAAAAAGACATGGCTTGTAATCAATGCGGCACTATTATCAAACAGGAACTGTGGATGGTATTTAGTGCGAACGCTACGCTACTTGTCTCGTCTAGACAACACACCTTAAAATCTCGTCCATTGCAGGCAGCTTTGCCGATGGTACACGGTTAACTTTCTCACCCTAACATACTTTTCTCAAAATTTAAAGTCCACACCAAATGCAGGCTGAGCAAAATTGAAATTGCAAACGTCCTCAGTTAAATAGTGGTCCGAAACTAGGTGAATGCATTGTCGGGAAATTAGAAAAGACTAAAAACTGCAGTCTGGTCGATAAAAGGTATTATCTAGAAAGTTATTGGGATGGATTCGTGTATGGATGACTTGATTGCTTTTTCGTTGACCAAAATTTCGTCGCGACATTTACCACAGTTGATTCCTACGTTTTCTAGAACCGAGTGTCCTAATTTCATTCCGAGCTACTTTTGTGAACCCAGTGATTTCCTCAATGGTTTCGTTTTTTCCAAGCAAATTACCCTGTTTTAAATTTACCTTAGTCTGCATAGGAATTGCGCACACGGAGTAAATTTTTTCATGTAGAGGAATAGCCAGGAAACCTCTACTAATTGAAAAGAATTACCAGATTTGAGAAGGAACTAAGGTTTGTCGGAAGGAATTTTTTGATCTGCTGACATTTCTGAGAGTCAGGTCATCTCGCAATTTTCAAAATGTTAAATGCTTAAAATCTGACAGGACTGAAAATGATGGCACGAGCTTGTCGGCCTTCGGTTGATCAATTCATTTCTTTTTTCGTTGGTTCACCTGTTTGACGGATATTTCGCGGAGTTGACAACAGCGTGCTTTACGAGCAGCAAACTCAGTGAATAGTGATTAAGCCTCTGCGGGATGTGTTCAGTCTGGAAGTATTTTTCTATCCTGCCGGATGAGTTTGTTGTTGAGCCGTGTCTCTGTTGTTTTTTGGAAAGATGTGGTTTGG